TGGAAACCAGCTTAAAGGAGGGTCGACGATCCCGTAATGCTGGAGTTTGGAGTGTAGTATGTGATGGTGTCGACGATCGAAAGCCTTCGCAAAACCTAGTTACATCACATCAACGCCTTTTCCAGCGTCAGCTGACTCGGTCCAACTACTGCGTGCAATTAGTATCTTCATTGTGCATGATTGCTGTCGACGGAAGTCTTGCTGCTCAGGCGTGCTAGTGTTACAGTTTTCCAGATACCACACCAGCGCATCGACAGTTATGTATTCTATGACCTTGGAGAGTATAGGAAGAAGGGATACTAGTCGGTAGTTGGAGGGATCAGTTCTGCTTCCACCTTTGTGAATCCGGGTTATTCTTCTAAGCTTCCACATGGCGGGAACATAGTATTGGTCTAAGCAGTGCTGGAATAGCTGAGCTTTACCTCCTGCCAGTTGACTTGCTGCTGCTTTCAGTACCTCTGGATGAATAGTGTCGGCACCCGACGAACTGTGTTCGCGTGTGGACGATACCTTTTGCAATACAGCCTCCTTGGTAAAAGTGGTGTGGGATGGTCCCTTCGAGGAGAAGAAAAAGTTAGTAGATCGCTTGGTTGCAAGTCCCTTTGTAACCTGGGGGCATATTTTGCATCTGCTGCGCGCTTGCTGCTTCCACAGCCGTTCTTGTTGGGCTATCAGCCGTCCGGTATGAAGGAAATCCTTGCCTCACATTTCTTAGACAATTGACGTTATTGTACAGCAGTCTGTGGTTAGCACGGAAAGTTTTTGCGATTTTCGACTGATAGGCAGTTGTTTGTAGTGGTTACGTTGGGCTACGTAGTTGTTACCATTTTCTGGTGCTGGAGCTTCACTGTACATTCGCCATGCTGCGTTGCGTACTCTCCTCCGTTTTCGAGTTCCGCTTCTACCGCAAGAATCTGATGTCCACTTATTGCAAACACTTAAATCTGAAGCGTCTGCAATCAGCTGACTGAATTTGTTGACGAAATGGAGCCAGACGAATTACAAGGGTTACTCGGCAAGGACTAATCCATCGTACCTTATGATGCTTAGCATATTCTCATCGTTCTCATTCCGCATAGCAGACGAAGTTGAAACTGATCAATGCGACCCAATGGGCAGCGTAAAGCCAACACGTCAGTCATATGCTCCTCGTTGGCAAGCAACAGATCCAGCACAGATGGACTGTTACTGTTTGTTGTATTTCGCTGTAAACTGCATCTTAAAGCAGCCGCAAGGTGGCAGTAGGTTTCGGGTGGAGAGTTACGGGGCGGTATAGCAAGACAATAAGGCCAGTGTTTCTGCCTTTTAACTTCAAGCTGCACCAAAACAGAATCGGGGAACTACGAGTCTGAATCCTCCAGGGCTTCGCACTGTAAGTCGCTTCGGTAACACAGGATTACCTCTCCTCCTTTTGTGAGCCTATCGTTCCGGATCAGCGACGTGCCCCGTAACGAAACTTCAGCGTCCGTCATTCCCGTGTGCAACCACGTCTCGGTGATACCGTTGACATCATGTGTCACGGAAGATTAGCGATCTTTCAGTTTGGCCATTTTGTTAAAACACTTGAGCATTCGCATTAAAGCAGGCCAGTTTCTCAGTCTCTAATATCCCACAGAGGGGTGAAGGGGTCAAGGGTGGGAGAATGCCGACCGAAGAGAGTTCGGCTGTTACTTTTATTTTTGATGGGATAATTATGCCTCGTTTGCAACTTGATTCGGCCAAGTTATGTCCCAATCTTCTTTTAGACCTAATTCAGAGTCAATTAAAGCAGCAGTCAACTTACGCTTCTATAGATTCTTCGGTATGCTTGTTGTTTCAGCCGCTTTAGTGTATGAGCTGTGCAAAGCTTGTGCGACCTATAACCGAAGTTCAGAAGAAAAAATTTCTGACCTCCACCATCGATCCAAAACATTTGTTGCTTGTTGCTCTGACTGAACCACAAGTTTTAGGATTCTAGAGCCGCGTCCTCTATAATTTGGTGAGAGAGATGTCCTGGTGAGCGATAACGCCAAAATGTTATCCAACGAAATTGTTTCACGAAGGAACCGCCGCTGTTCTAAATCGTGCTTTCCGGTATCTTGAACATCTTTAGACGGATGTTCTACGCCCCTTATATGAAGATTGTCTTTAGGCGGTCTTGTTTGCTGTGTCCCTCTCTGGTGTTGCTTTTTGATATTCAAGCGCTCCAAGGGACATCAGGATAAATGCGTAACCCCCAGGATTCATGTTTTAACTCGCTTGCGGAGATCAAGTCTTTTTCTACGTCGGTGGTGGATTCTTGTGTAACTCGGATAATTCTGGGTTCTCCATAATCTGGCGAGTTCGGATGACGAGTTATTCGTAATGTATATGGGCTTAGCTTTGACGTTCATTAGCAGGCACAATGAGTTCCAATGGTGTTGGTCGTCCGATAACTTGTTCTGCAATATGATGGCAGTAGATTAATGAAAATTTGAGCATACAACAGTCGGCACTATTTTTGGATTCTTTTTTCGTTGATCTACATAGTGTGTGATTTGCAGACTAAAAACGCCAAGCACCAATTAGTTTAGAAATCGTAATGTTGAAACTACGTATGTCCTAGGCTGATATCTTTGTTGTGAACACTAGCAATGGCTGAAAGCGAAGGAGTAAAGACAGGCATCTTCGAACTTCATTAACAGCCAAGGGATTTGATTTGCGGACTACATGAAAGGGGCGATAGATTAGCCATGTTGCTGTTTGAGACGTACGCAGAAATATGTCTGAAGAGTGGTTGTTGAAGTAGGCAGTATTCATGAGTGAGAGCTTATTTATTCAACACATCGAAACGACTGAATAAGTTGTAGTTGGAATGATAAACGTGAACCACTTTTGGGTGGAAATTTTTGACATTGTGTGATAGGAGATTGCATAGGTAATCACTGCTAACAGAACCAGAATGCCCGGCGTTGGCAACCTCAATACAATCAGAGAATCGCTGTTCCATAGAGCGCGCCATGGTTCAGCCGAAACCTACTTTCTGTCTCATAGGTTTGCTGTCTCCAGTGTAAGATTCAGCAGCGGATATTGATCACATAGTTATTGATCACATAGTTATTGATCACATTTGTCTGTGCTCGTGGCACATACTGAAAATATTTTCAAGATGCCGGGGTATTTCATAAAGAGTATTTCAAAGGTTTGTAGTCGTAGTCTTGATTGGTTCTTCAGGCTAAGCAATTAGATTGCAGACGTTTAACCCCCAATCGTGGTGGTATCTTTTTTGCGTAGTGGTAAATAGCTTGATAACAGATACCGAGCTTCAAACAAATCCAGAGGTGGATGTCGTCGGCTGCGTGGCTGCTCTTTATATACACTTCAATTCTTAGAAGTCACGCTTAGTTCTGATTAGTTGCTTCTCCGGGTACTATGGCATACACGAGCGACCGCTATTGGCGGGTGAGGAAATTGGTGAGACGTAGCATAGCTTTTGCAATTTCAATGGGGCAATGGCTAACATGGTTACAATGGTTGTTCTGTTCGGTCTTCAGTCACTGGCCAGTGTCGATGCAAGCCACAGTTTGTAATCCGTCTTGTTCCTTTTTTAACTCTTGATCAAGATCGATGCATAGGTTTAGTGAATTCTCTGTCGACAAACAAGCTTCCTGAAATTCTCTTCATTTCCTTGTATAACTGTGTAACAGATTCTCTGTTCCACTCTGAGCAAAGCTGTGTGCTTCTTCATCGACGTTCATCAAAATCAAAAATGACGCGTAAGGATTTTTGGCAGGCACGCTTATGCTCCTGTATTCTCGGAAACAAGTTCCGTCCGGATTGGCCCATATAGATGTTCTCACAGATTTGGCGCGGAATCCTGTATACAAAATTGCGTTACTTAAGGGTTTCTACTTTCTCTTTCGGTTTCGACGTTCTTTTCAGTATGGCTGTCGGTTTACGAGCAACCATTAGGTGGTGTGCTTTCAGAAGTATGTCAGTCAGTTCTATGAGGTCTTTCACATACGGCAAAACGATCCGTTTGTGGTTGTCGATATTGTTGTGGAATTGATCGATCTGGGATTGATGTATCTTCGGAGGAAACCGTGTGGATCCCCGTTCCGCAAGGAGGGCACAAACAGATGTTTCACGTCCTTCCGTATTGCTTCTGTGGTGCTGCAACGTGATTCGATTCTTCGGAATAGATTTCGTATGCAGCTTTTCTTGTGACACTTTGCATGACTGCAGTTGTAGTTCAAAATTTGGTCATTGTGTATGCCTCTTCTGTAATTCGAGGTGTGCAGTTCTTCGTCCACTGTTCTGTACACCATAGCGTCCAAGAAAAGAAGTTGGTTTGCTTTTTCTGGTTTCATGGTGAACTGAATGCCATCCATTGTATGGTTCAATAAATCTTGTGCCTCCTGAAACTGGCTGCGTTTAAGTGAAAAAATGATATTACTGAGCAGTTGTTTGCACAGCTCTGTGTCCGCACATTTACGGCAAAGATTAGATAGATTGAAAATGTTGGTGGGTTCACATGGGTAATTTCTTGTGTATTATCCAAGCCAACTTACTAGGCATCACCAGCACTCGAAGTGACAAATAGTTTTAAAAAATAACAGTTCAAATCAATAAGTCTTAAATTATAGTCCCGAGTCGAAATACGACCTACTACACATGAATATGTTTTCAAATTTCAGGATCTATGATAAAACAACAAGTTAACTTGCATCTAATTACATCTCACACATCCACTAGATTCATATCGTGAATTGTACACTTGCTCCCTGTGAGCAGCGGCACTCGACATTGGTTTCGGCATATATTTCTGTTTTTGCTTTGCAATTGCAGGCGGTTTTACTTGAGGATCTGATTTTGGAATTTGTATGTTGCTTCAATTATCTAGTAAACTAGCCAGTTTTTAAATACTAGTAATGCTCTTTTATGCAGGCCATTGCAGACGGTGCTAGGTTGCTTCAGTTATCTATTGAACTAGTCTTGAATGCTGTCCAGATTTTAAATATATTGGATGCCCTTTTATTCAGAATATTGGAGACGATGCTGTGTACATCGTTCATCGACAGGCAATCGCCTTAGACCGGTTCATGTTGCACGAGTTGAGTTCTGCTGAGGAACATGGTAAGCGCGATACAAATGATATTTCTATCGATTTTTCCATGAAATGCTTGATATTTCTTCTACTCGCATGGACACATAAAAACGCACCACAACTAACCAGTACATATAAATTATTGTGGGTATTACTTGCGGGTCCACGTACGTTGCCAGATGAAGGAGAATTGTGCTCCTTTTTGAACCTAAATGGACCATCGCAACCAATATTGTGGTAATCAGGGGTCAGAAACATTAAAAAACCGTCGCATTTTCGGATGACATCCGATGATCGGGATGACAGTTATCAGCTACAAATTAAGCCGCAATTTGTAACCGAAGCCATATCGATTTTGCAAGTTCAGCCCACTACACCGTGTAAACTATTCAAGTATACTCAGAGACTGAAACATGATTTAGGGACTAGACAGGCAGAGTTCATTAAAAGTCAGGTGGTAGCATTATCGATACAGAAAACGAACAGGGATAACATACAGTCCGTTTAAGGAAACTGACGGCTGTTGGAAGTGCGATTATTAACGAATAACGAGTTTAATCAAAGTCATGCTTACCGTGTTATTTGATTTTACACATAGCTGACACCTCGGGAACTGAACTAGCATTTAGTTGTTTGCCCTGGCTCCAATAGCCTCTGTGGCACAACAATAACCGCATTACTTTTAGTCTGGGGCTAAGTTTTGGCAATGCGTTTAAGTTAGTATAAATACATCATCGACTTCTGCAAACTGGAGCAACCGAAATAACAAACCTTTTCTAGATCACCATCGTTCATCAATATACACGCTAGCTGCAGGTGGACAGCACCTCAGCCATGGTGCCGCAATGGAAAAGTAAAGCAAAAATGAAACATTGGCAGCCGTCTGAGTCACTCCTACCGGATGGGCATCGTTCTGGAGAGCTAACGGTCGGCTACTGTGCCGCAAAAGTCGTGTAATGCCTATTAAGGCTAATCTGAGTTAGGATCGGAGGCTCCAAATACTAGTCGATGCACTAGGTTTGACCGCTTAGTTAGACATTGGTTTGTTGATAGGACAAGAGTGACTCTCCGCGTTTGCATGTGAGTTAAAACTAGAAGATAAACGCCTATCAAAGCGTGGTGATAGTGGGTCAAGAATTGGGGTTTCAAATTGGGGGATAAAAGTGAAGTTGGAAGGGGACAATAAGGGTGAAAATGCGTAAGAGGGAGAATTCGAAGACGGGAATGCTTAAGCAGCAGCAGATAGGGCACCGTTGATTATCCTCTGTGGTGGCCAAAATATCAGGAGATTTTTTGAGAAAAAATGTATAGTATTCCGCGGGCAGGATATTGTCAGGTTGCCCAGGCCAAAACAGGAGAATAATTAGGGATCATAACCAAAGCCATTGGTACAAAAAGCCTGTCCGCAAGGCAGCGGGTTTGACAGAGGACTACAAGGAGTCCGTTTTAAGGAATAAGGAGCCAGTCTCATTCCATCCCCAACCTGGAGGACGAAAAGACTGTTTGTCTGGCCTCTAACCACTGACTAATTTGGTATGAGTGGCACTGAAGGTGCAAAAAGTGCCATCCAGTAAAGCTCAATGGATCGCTGAAGCACACAAACCATCGCACCACGATAAGGTCCGGCAACATTGCGATGGACCCTTTCTAGAGTGCCACTCATGTGGACTATATCTCACATAGTCGAGCAATATGCTGTTCATTTAGTTATACATTTCAGCCTGAATTCCGTCTTCCACTACTCCCTAAACATCAGTGATGCAACCATCAGTAAATAGGCACTATTGAATGACGGTAATTTAGCGAGAAAAATCGCGTCTCTAAATGCTAACCCCGTTTACTGCGCGTTAGAAACGCGCATGGTGACGGAGGATGTCTACGTGCTTTTAGCACAACTATTACTTAATCAAGGTGATTGCCTCTACCCTTCCATGATCTACTGGTTTTTCTCGCTGACTCTAAATTGCAGTGTGTCGGCTTTTTACATCGCCCTGTGTAGACGGAATGATCAATTCTTGCGAGTGTTAAATATATGTACTTAGTTTATTCTTCGATTTAATGATAGACTTCGCCTATGTAAATTACAATTCCATGGTTTCACAATATATATCAATGCACATGGTGAGATAATTGAGTGTAGCTGTAATGGAACCACTATGCATTTTTTCAGCTTCCTTCCATACACTCTAACATTAAAAACCTAGTTACGGTACTAGTGCGCAACACCTGTGAGACACAACCTAAGTACAACTTCAGTTACAGCTATTTGAGAAGAATAACCGTGACGATTATTTAGTGGATTTAATGTTCGAACATAAGAACGCAACGTGCACACACACACACACACACACACACACACACACACACACTATACACGTTAGCAACATGCACTGAGATATCTTTGGACCGATCATGCAACTTTGCACTGGAATACCAAACTCTTTTTACATTTGTCGCCAAATGAACCCACAGAACCTGTATAAATCTCACATACGTCATTATCTAAGAATATAATGTGATTATCACTAGTGAAGCTTCCTCGATGCCAGACTCAGACAGCCAGCTGACACACATCCAGGAAAGCATTGGACTGCCGTTTGATCCTATTGGGACTCAACAGTAGTGCGCACGTGCTGAATCCTGCAGGATTCGAACCTGCGATCTTACTCTTACGAGTCGGCGACTGATGCCACTGAGCCATGGGTGACGGCAGCAGGCCGTCATGACTGATATCTAAGTGCAATGTATCGTGGCTAATCTTTTACTGTCATGCATGTTACGAACATGCAGAGGAGAAGGCTATCCCCCAGAGCAACAACTTCACTGTTAACCTACGTTGATTCACCTGATGTGGGACTAGACTCCATGGTCCTTTTAACTTGCCGATTTGTATAGCTGCAGATAATTGAGGAGCGCTGACTAGTATATATTCTATCGAACCCAAGTAGTTTCTTTCCACCGGCAGTAATGAAATATGGTTAGGTTTGAAATGCTAATTTCCCGGGAAATAAGAAGACTGTTCGTACCTGAACGGTGTTGCAGATCAGTGAGGCAGGGGGGAATTTAGGGGTAAAGTATAACCATATCATAGGTAGTGCATAACATTCAGAATGGCTCAATTTATGGATATATGTGCAGGGGCCTGTCATAACTAAAGTGCGTGAAGCTTATTTAGTTTTAAAATCCGCCTTGTGTCCTCAGCTAACTGATCGCGCTAGCTGGGTAATTCAATGTGGTTTAAGAAGTTGGTGGCCTGATTGTCTGTCATCGGTCCATCAGAGGATGCAGTGCAATCCAGCGGAGCTGTGAATGCAGTTTCTAGCCACCTTGCTGCTATCGACGTGGACAAGAAGCACATGTGAGGAATTGCGGCGTCAAATCGGTGTTCAATAAGTTGTAGATGCCTGCTGCTTTCGGCTTCATGTTTTCTTTTGCGAATATCACCCCATACCTCGCTGACGTCAGATTGCAACTTGGCGTTATCAAGATAGCAATTTTCGATACCATCAAAGTTGGTGAGTGTCTGAGTACCAGTTAGAGGAGCAGATGGCAAGGAAATTTTCTGTTTTTAAAGCAAGTGCCAGTGAGTGTTATGAGACACATGTGCATAGCTGACTTTTCGCGACCGACATTTCCAGTAGTCTGACGCAGTGAAGAAACAGTGTTTGAAGAGGACGTATTCTATTTGCGAGAATATAAAAGTTATAACGTTGTACGTTAACAACATAGATAGCGTGTAGATTTAACGGTACACACTATGCCGTTTTTGTACCATAGGTGTTGGTCGCATTCAAGCCTCCCTATAGGAATCGATGGAAGTGCAGTAAAAAATTATTCTAATACGGCAGATTGTATATGGCGAGAGTGTGTTTGTCTTCTGACTGCCTTAGCGACTGCTGGAAGGGGTGAACTATCTCCATAGGAAATTCTGAGCGAATTCTTGGGTTATATCTTTCCGAAGGATAACCACTCACTACTATATAGCAAACGTGCTATCAGCTAGAGAACCGAAACGACTCAATGGTTTCCAAGTGGATACGAGGAAGTCGAATGATAACAATTCGCGCACTCTCTATTGCTGGCCTATGAGGTAGGCACTTGTCTAATCTCTAGTTTAGATTTAGGTATCTAACACAAACCTGCTTTCTACTAATCAGCTTAGTAAAGGACAGAATTGCTGGAGGAGGATATCCGAGTAACAACCACAAGCTTTGCAAACTATGTTAGACAGAACTAATGGGACTCGGTTTCTTATGAGAAATGATGCAGAGCTGAACGTGCTTAGATAGGGGATTGCGGTTCACTAATGCGTATGAAATACTGACTGATTAGCACAGACTTGTAAAATTTGATGTGTTTCCACCGTTCTGACCTATTTCGTCCAGTACTCTATGGTAAACAATGTTCATACTGTCGATAGCTCTTCTGACACTCTGTGCTTTGCTCTTAATAGGTACTGTAGATCCGTTAAAATTGTAACACAGGAGAGACGTATTTTGCTGAATAAATTCCAATCTGACCATTTACTTATTTGGCACCATGTGTGTCCCTATCAACGGTTATCTTTATGCAAGTATAAAGGGGAAACCGTATGGTTGATTATACAGTGGTCCACCGCTCTAGAAGATGTTTCGCTGCTTTGTTGTCTAGAAGATGCTTGTAGGAAAGCGTAGAGGAGATCCGCAAGCCATTTCCCTTAAGTAGCAAAACGGTACGATCGGCAGTTATGTATGGGTATACCGCAGTGCCTAAAAGCGCATCCGATTATCAAAATTTAAGCAGGATGGCTAAGAATTGATCCACGTCCTCTCTGCAGAATATCCAGGCTTCGTTAGAAAGTGGAGTTAAACGCTGATTACTCTCGAATGATGTGGCAACCGACAACATTTAGTAACAAGTGCACAAGTTCCTGTGACCTGAATACGATAGCCGCCTTAACCATCGAACAACTCTCTAGTACATAAGTCTCAAGCTAAAAGGTCGTACGTGTGCACCCATGTAAGAGTATGGTAACTCTGGTATAGATTGATCTGTGCCGATGCTGACATAATCGTTAGAATCATTGGAAACCTACGTATGAACGCTATTGGTATAGCATTTGTAACACAATGAATTTAATTACCCAAGATCTTCCCTAGCTCGACGCACAGTGGCATGAAATTGCGCTGAAATGCTCCAGAGCACTAGCTTAGGATAGCCATGCCATTCATGAGACGTAGGTGTTTATGTATAGTGCGAAATTTCTCCGGCGGTGGTTTAGTACCAGACTGGCAAATCACGTACATTTCAATGGATTCAAACGAAGTTTCCTGAAGATAACTTTCCTTGCTTATCTGTGGTGTCGTTGGTGACTAACGCTTGGAACCAATGTCTGGAGATGGGATCTGTGCTTCGTTCAGCCCGTAGTGAATAATAAAATAATAAGGTGTCAGCTGTACGCCGTAACGGCGCTTCGCTGCCGCGTGACCACCACCAGTCGCGCGCGCTGAGTATACCGCGAGGACGCCCACCCCTACGCGGATTCGAACGGATGACATGGTTGCAAACCAAATGCGCAGACCACTCGGCCACCGGCCGACGCCCGTAATGATATGAGCGACGAAACGCTGGATGGTTCATGTGGTGTTCAGCAAATTGTATTGCATGCGTGACAAATCGACCAAATCAGAGTTATCACAGCGGTTTTTAACATATACCCCTGAGCTACAAAAATCATTTTAGGGTCGCGTATCGGATCCCTTTGGAGAGAGACCAGGAGTTCATACCTTACGAAAATCGTCGTTTACTGTATCCTCTCAAGGAGGACGCTACATAGGCTGGAATGTTTTCCAGTTGTCATACCCACTTCACTGTTAATATACATCCTGGAATTACTTCCTGTGCCAACTTGATAAATAGCCTACGGATTTAATCCGTTCGATTTGATTTCACCGGCACTCTGACAGGTGAATTCCTGCAAATGTTCTGCTTTCAGTATGGCGCCGCACACAACGGTGAGGGTGATCAGACTTGCTTGTATTCCTACGATATCGGTAAGAGCAAAGGGATAATCGCTAAGCAATGCATAGGAATGTGGTTTAGCGGTAACTATGCCACAAACATTGAAACAGTTACCACACTGTAACAGTGTACTTAATACAATGAGCAGACCATAACTGGCAGATGTTTAACTTTCTTATTGGCTCATCATCGTCATGACAGAAAAATATATTAAAACTAGGGCCAGAGCGTGAATGAACAGCGACAGGGTGAGGGAAGATGTGCCGCCTCCATGTGCACGGGAGTCAGGATTACGAACTACAGTTTTTGCATACGGAGTGCTGATTTTATTCTGCTTTACGCAAGAGCCTCGGAAAAACGCAGAAAGCGGGTGTCGACATATCTTAATAAGATCATGGCCATGGTAGTACAAGTGGATGATGAAAATGGTCAGTAAGCGTCCATGGATGAGACATGTGGCCATTGTAAAAACATCATTATCATCATTATACGCCTTAGCTAGAGGTGGGAAACACCTCAGCTACTGTGCCGCAATAACGGATTGGCATCGTTCCAGTAAGCTACGTGCTGTCTACTATACAGCAGAAAAAATAATTTACCATACAAGTTTACCATACAAAATTAAAAATATAAAAATTATAATGAGATCATGGTTGGAGGGGGAGACTAAGAGGGATGGGTGGGACAAAGAAACTCACAGCACGAACGTCATTGAGGTAAGCTCCTAGCCAGATCAGCAAGTGTATCCAACCAAACGTGTTCATCATCTTTCGGACCCCAACCAGGGAGCCGTGACGCTCCAACCGAGGCCATCTCAGAAGTAAGGGCCTTCATTCCGCTCTACCAAGTCACCGCTTGGCCACATCTCCTCTTTTTCCATCCACACCCCAGGCGCGCAAACAACGCACATCGCGGAAGACGGTAGGCTGGCATGCGAGGTTGGAGCCTGGTGCTTGAAATGGCGGTGCTGAGAGGTTCAGTTTCTTTTCATGTGCCGTAAACAAGGCGTCGAACACGCTCGTTGCTCATGCAGTGTTCCCAACAGATGTGAGCCAAACTGCGAAGGCAAGGGTGGTGGAAACTAACTCGCCTCTTTTTGTCCGCTGATCTAAGGAGCCAGGTTTTTCAACCATACAGTAAGGTCGAACGTACCGCTGCATTGTACTTTCTACCCTTCAGGGAGTGAGTGACGTGGCGACGGCGCCATAAGTGGTGCGGGTTAGCAAAAGCGCCCCGAGCTTTTGCTAGACTTTTCGTGACCTCCTTTTCGACCCCAAGGGCGCTGATACAACTTCCCAGGTAGTTGGATTTTAAAATGACGTCTAGCTGATCCCCACCAAGGGTTAGCGAAGGAGGCGTTCCAGGCCATCCTTGGAGGAACGCTTTGCACTTCGATGTTGCAAAGCAAAGCCCGAAGTGATGGACAGCCAGTGCTAATCTGTCCAGTTCCCCTTGACGTGTTTGTGAGATGTTACAGATTAGGGCAATATCGACAGCCTACTCCAAGTCAAGAAGCTGTTCTCTGAAGAGCAGATCCACACTTTCTAATTAGTGTCCTGTGAACGCGATTTCCATGACTTCGTCATTACAGAAGTTGAAGAGGAAAGGTGACAGCCAGCATCCTTGTCTCACAGAGCTGGAGATATTAAAGGGCGACGACAGCTTACCGTAGGCCCTCACTCCGCCTGAGTCACGCGCGTATAATGATCGGATAATATTTACATATTCCTCAGGTACATATTTCCTGCGTAGACAGTTCCAAAGTGCACGTCTATTCACCGAATCGAATGCACCTTTGATGTCGAGGAATAAGAATAAGGTGGGCCGCCAATATTTGTGACGGTGCTCCAACAACTGACGCAAAGTGAATATGTGGTCGTTGCAGCTAAGACTCCAACGAAACCCCGCTTGCTCTTCACGAATCTGGCTTTCACGAGTGCCAGTCAGTCTGTGAAGGATGACAGAGGCAAGCAATTTGGAGGCGATGGAGATCAGACTGATTCCTCTATGGCTGCCGCATTCCGATCGTGAGCCTCCTTTGAAAATTGGGACTATGATGGAGCGGCTCCAATCGGTTGGGACAGTTTCCTGCTCCCACAGTCTCACTAGTAACTCGTGTAAATCATCCACAAGAGCAGGTCCCCCGAATTTGAAGAGGGCTGAAGGACGATCATCTGGTCCTGCAGCTTTATTTAACTTCAACAGTGTGATCTCACGTTCGACACTGAGCGAGAGGGTGGATCCAAAGGGACAGCCCAGGGAGCGGGGCGATCAGTGGCCGGTGAGGAATCGAACAATTCCGGCCGATTAAATTGCCTTTCAAAGTGCTCAGCCCAACGCTCTATACGTTTTGACAATTTGT